TTAGAACTTTAGGATGATATGTTACCATAGATGTAATTTGTAGTTGTGAATCTGCATTTATTTATGTCTATTCTACTTTTGTGTATCCTATCACTTGTATTTCAGCATTCAAAACTATGAGCTGAGCCATGTGTTACAGTAGTACTTCTATAATCTCAACATTCAAGAGGCTGAGACAGGAGTATTGCAAGTTTGACACTATCTGGATTACATAATGATGAGAATTTCTCTATCTCTGTCTGCTTCTCAGCTACATAGTATTCCTCTCCTTCTGTCTCTCTGTCTTTGTTTGTCTCTCTCTCTGTCTACACACACACACACACACACACACACACACACACACATACACACACACACACATACACACACACACACACACACACACACACACACACACACACACACACTGCACATGCCAGACAACCCTATCTTTGAGCTAAGTAAATCATTAGCCAATTGGTAGCAATGGAATATTGACTAATATACTTTATTTACTTGAAATGAAGTCATAGGTAGTTTAATCTTCCAAACCCCATACAAGGTTAAAAAGGGGGCAGGTGAGTAACCTATTCTACTAACTAGAACATAGAATAAACAGCAGTACTGTTGTTACAACCATATAGTTAGTCATGATCACATTTAGAAAATGTCATTAAGCTTTTTTTGAGAGGGGGTGTCTAGACATACTTTCTGTGTATATCCCTGGCTGTCCTGGAACTCACTCTGTAGACCAGACTGGCCTCAAACTTAAGAGATCTGCCTACCTCTGCCTCTCAAGTGCTGTGATAAAAGGCTGCATCACCACTGCCCAGCTGTCATTAAGTATTTTAAAGATGCATATTAGTATTCTATAGAGAACTTGAAAAAAATGATGCTCACTCTTTCTAAAATTAAATATATACCTATAGCAGTTCCACTCCCATCTGCCGAAGAGAACTGAAAACATGCATTTGAAATATGTTGGGAGCAACCGTATAGTCCCTAGGTGACTGAATTCAAATGTTTAATTAAAAGATGGATAAACAAATTGGAGGAGCTGCCACTCATCAGTTAGAGAGAGTGAATTATTGACTAAACACAGATGAATCTCAAAAATATTGTTTAGTGAAAGAAGCCAGGCACAAGAGTATATGCTGTATGATTCTGTTTATTAGGAAATGTTAACCGAGGTCTAACATTAGATGTGAAGAGTGATTGCCTCTGAATAGTAGGGGTGTTGACTGGATAGAGGGCATAAAGGAACTTTTTAGGTAATGAAAATGTCCTGAAACCCCAATATAATTGAATATACTCTTTTTTTTTATTTTATTTTTGAGACAGTTTCTCTGTAGCTTTGGAGGTTGTTCTGGAACTCTTTCTGTAGACCAGGCTGGCCTTGAACTCACAAAGATCCACCTGTCTCTTCCTTCCGAGTGCTGGGATTAAAGGTGTGCAAATATATTCTTAAGATGTGTTTATTTCATTGTATAGCAGCTTCACCAAAAAACAAAAACAAAAAAATGTGACAGGAGAAAAGACTCAGTGGGTAAAGACTTTTGCCACCAAGCCTGACAACATGAATTTTATCCCTGCAAATTTTACTTTGGCCTCTAAGTATGTGTCATGGCATGTTCTTCCACCAATAAATTAATGTAAGAATTAAAAATGAAACAAAAATATGCATGTCTGGGTCCCGCATGCCAGAGCTTCTGATCTGATTTGTTTAGGGTGATAGCTTGGGCATCAGATTCTAATGTATAGTCATAATTAAGAAGTTAGAGTTCAGCTGGGATGGTGGTGCATGCCTTTAATCCCAGCACTCAGGACCCAGGGTTGCGGAGGGTCTCTGAACTGGAGGCCAGCCTGTATTGTTTTTCTTTTTTGGCTCTTTCTTTAGGGGGTGGGCCATGCCACCCAGCTCCTAAATAAATCATACAGAGACGTATTCTTTCTTATGAATGCGTGGCCTTAGCTTGGCTTGTTTCCAGCCAGCTTTTCTTAAGTTAAATTATCCTATCTACCCATTGCCTCTGTGTTTTTACCTTTCTCTATTTCTGTATACCTTTCTTTATTACTTATTCTGTGGTTTGCTGTGTAGCTGGGTGACTGGTCCCTGGAGTCCTCTCCTTCTGTTTCTCCATCTTCTCCTATTTATTCTCTCTGCCAGCCCCTCCTTTCTCCTGCCTCGCTATTGGCCATTCATCTCTTTATTAGCCCAATCAGGCGTTTTAGACAGGCAAAGTAACATAGCCTCACAGAGTTAAACAAATACAACATAAAATAATGCAACACATCTTTGCATCATTATAAACAAATGTTCCACAGCATAAACAAATGTAGCACATCTTTAGCTAATATTCTACAACAATTCTGTTCTACAGAGTGAGTTCCAGGACAGCCAGGGCCACACAGAGAAACTTTGTCTTAGAAACAACAACAAAAAAAGAACTAAGTTCAGTTGTAAGAATCATTGGTTACAGATAACTTGCCTTTGGATGTAGTCCATGATGAGTGCACTTGCTACTATAGACAGAGTTTCTGTTCCACCTGGTCCTGCAGCCATTTAGTCCCAAAATAAATACACAGAGATTTATATTAGTTATAAACTGCTTGATTGAGGGCTCAGGCTTCTCATTGGCTAGCTCTCTTAATTACTAACCCATTTCTATTAAGCTATGTATTTCCATGTGGTTTTGGCTTACCAGAGAATGCCCGGCGTGCTATCTTCCTGGTAGCTACATGGCGTCTCCCTGGCAGCTCCTCTCTGCCTCCCTCTTCTCAGTATTCTCCTAGTCTGGTAGCCCCACCTATATTTCCTGCCTGGCTAGATCCTACCTGTCCATAGGCCGGAACACCTTTATTCATCAATCAATAAGAGAAAACTGTATTCACAGTATACAAACAGGACGTCCCCCATCATGCTACACTTGTAGATTGACATAGATATGGTATATTGTCAACTAAAACACAGAAGAGACATTGCTATTTGTGATAGCATTTGATGACAGAAATTTTGATGAATTTTAAAATTTTAAATTTTAAAACAAAATCAATCTTAATATTCTCTTAATTTATTGGATATTTGTGACTTATTGAAATACTGTGCAAAAAGCAAAACAGTCTACCCACTCCAAATACAAGCATTGTATTGACTCCTTCATTACAGGACATCAGTCATCCCTGGCGTCTGACTAATCCATTTACTATCATATCTGTGAGAATTACTGTCAGATTTGCTGTTAATTACTGTGTCAGTTCCTTATTCTGTAAGGAAGTGTACTTTTCCATTTGAGTTCAGTAATGTGTAAAGATGAGCTTTAAAGAGGCATCTTTGCTGGGGAGGGCATTTTTAAACCTTTTAAAACTGTGTGTGTGTGTGTGTGTGTGTGTGTGTGTCTGTCTGTCTGTCTGTCTGTCTGTCTGTCTGTGAGTCCATACAGAGCAGTGGTTCTCGACTTTCCTAATACTATGACCTTTTAATACAGTTCTGCATGTTGTGGTGACCCCCAACCATGAAATTATTCGTTGCTACTTCATAACTATAATTTTGCTACTGTTATGAACCTTAATGTCAATATCTGTGTTTTCTGATGGTTTCAGGTGACCCCTGAAAGGGGTCATTGGACTCCAAAGGATTGAGAACCACTGGTATAGAGGTTTGTGCACATGTTAGTGTAGGTGTCCAGAGTTCAGAAGAGGGACTTGCAGCTGGAGTTGTGGGCCACTAGATAACAGATAAAATTGGTCCTCTGAAGAGCAGCAATTGCTCTTTAACTTCTGAGCCCAGGGGTATGTGTTGATATGGAGAGCATCCAACTAATTTGGTATTAGAGGTAACCGCAGATAGATGAGTGGTGAGGTCTGTGAGTGTCAATGTTTTATTGTGTTGCAGAGAACTAATGATCTAGCATTTGGCCAGGAAAGAGTTGTTGAACTAAGAAAGTTACATGTATTTAAACTAATACCTCAATGAAATGCTAGAGAAATTGCTGAAGTCCTGGGACAGGTCACTTTTATTTTTAAAGTCATGTGGAGGGAAGAACAGATGTATACTATCTCAAAAGTGATACTAAAGTGTAAAGAGAAACCTTTTCCTTGAGAGAAGCCTTCCCGCCAGCTTGGTTCTAGAGCCGCATCAGTCCCAAATAAACACACAGGAGGCTATATTAATTATGAAGCTGTTGGCCTTGCTTGTTTCTTACTGGCTAGCTCTGACTTAAGTAATTACCCCATTCCAAACTGCTCATTCCAAACTGCTTCATGCTGGAAGGGGGCGCTGTTCATACCATGGGGATCATGACAAAACTCAGAAAGCTGTATAAGTCCTTATTTTCAGGGTCTGTGAAGCTGTATCATCTTAGCTGTCTCAATTGTTGGAACACCTGGCCCACTGCTTCCGGGGGTCTTGGTTCATCAAACCACAGAAGCCTGGAAGGAATCCTCAGCTTTTCATTTTCTGTAGAAACATAAATAAAATCTCCTTTCCCAAGTAACATATCCTTATACTTAAATTTTGAAGTCAAGGCATTTTCAAAAGATATAAGTTGAATTAATTCAGCAGCATTTATAATCAAGTGTACTTTAGCAGTTGTTCCTTGCTGAGCAATCAAAAAACTGAAAAACATAATAGCGTACAGTATCCAGACTCTCTGTGTATTTTCCATCTTTACGTGGCTTATTTATCTATTATTACCCAATTTCTTTTACTTTGATTTATTTTTCTTTGAGACAGGGTTTCTCTTTGGAAATCCGCCTGCCTCTGTTTCTGCAGCAAATCCTATCGGCGGGCGCCACCACAGCCGGGCTGTTTCTTTTTCTCTCAATCTTACGTATATTTTTAAACACACTGTAAACCTTTAGAAGTTTTTCTTCATCCAAGTCTGACTTTACTGTAAATTTTTATGTTTTAATGGCCACGTGTCTTATCTGTTAAAACTGCAGATGTTTTAAACTGCCGTTTTTCCAAGATGGCCGGCATAAGCGTGATTCCAGCTTACTGTTTCAGTCTGACATCCAGCAAAAGCTGCCGGCTCAGAGATGTGGTCACTGCCACTTCCAGCTGTACGTATAACTTTTCAATTGTTAGCAGAGTCTCTTAAAAGACCCTTGCTGGGTTTTTTATTTTTTTATGCTGAGTCAGGAAAACTACCTTAAGCAAGCCATGTGAGTCTCTGCTTGTTGCTAGCAAAACAGAGCCCACCTGAGAAAATGCTGCTACTAAAAAGCCGTGCTTCTCTCTGTCCTTTTGTTTCTAGAATTTCTTTAAAGCTTTTGTCATTCTACGTGGAAATTCATCATCCCACTCCTGATCACCATTTGTAAAGAGAAACCTTTTCCTTGAGAGAAGCCTTCCAGCCAGCCTGGTTCTAGAGCCGCATCAGTCCCAAATAAACACACAGGAGGCTATATTAATTATGAAGCTGTTGGCCTTGCTTGTTTCTTACTGGCTAGCTTTGACTTAAGTAATTACCCCATAAATGTTAATCTAAGTATTTCTCTTACTCGAGAATAGTTCCGGGCTTCCTACCCCATGGCGTTACATCTTGACTCTCTGTGTTTCTCCTTCCCAGCGTCCTCCTGGACTCCTAGTCCCACCTATCTAGATTCCTATTGGCCCAACAGTGCTTTATTGACATAATCACAGGACTTCCCCACATCACTAAAGAAACTCAACTGATCTTCCATTTGAGTGAAAAATCAGTGACTTCCTAATTTGTTTGATTAGAGCATAAATCCTGTTTTCTGAATTAATTACTACTTGGAGGAATCTTTCTGGGAGAGTGGAGAAATTAACCTATTAGGAAAAAAAACCCACGCCCCTCTGTAAAACTTCAGAGTTTAAAATACAGTTTACAGATGTATCTGTGTGTTTCTATTGTGGGCAGTTTGTGGTCAAAGTGATGCAGGAAACAATATGCTTGCTTACTTTGATTCTGCTTAAGGTTCCATAACTTTAATGTAGCATACTACATGAAGGTATATTTATATGTAAGCATTTTATAAATGAAGGTGTTTCATATTCATAGCTTTAGATTTAATATTATAAGTTATTTTCCTCCTATTTTAAGAATTTATATTAACTGATTTAACTAGGGACCTATGCATTCCCGTTAAGCATTCTATTTCTGACTCTACTCCTAATCTCTATTTTAGTAGTTTTCATCAAATTCTGTAATTTCTTCAAAAACAATTCATGCTGAGATTAAGAAGATAAACGGTCCTTTTTGAAAGAGTTCTACCAAAATGTGAGTGATTTAAAAGTAAAATCAAATTTATCTGCTTTGAAATTTTGTTACTAAATACAGTTTAACAAACATTATTCACCTGTAAATAGCATAATGTATTTTTTCTTTTAAAAGAATTTCATGCAAAGATATTTTTAAAACTTTTGATTAAACTGTAGAAATGGTGGCAACTTCCATTTACTGAGTTGATTCCCACTTCAGAGATGCCTATGTTAATATTACTCAGTTAATAAAGTTTTTTGGTAATGACAATCAGTGCATATTAAAAACTATTTCAGGGCCAGTAAGATGGCTCAGCAGATAAAAGCACTTGCTATGCAGACTTGATGACCTAAATTTGATTTTTGGAATACATGGTGAAGGAGAGAACCAGCTCTTGAAGTTAATCTCTGACCTTCACAAGCATGCCTTTGTATGTACTGCACATGTACATACCATGGGGTAAGGTGGTGGAGATTAAGAAGAGCCTATTTTAGAAGATTGTGAGAATGTAACTTATTGGGATGGATCAATATGAAAGTTATTGTGATTCCGTAAAGGACAGCCTAAAACAGTTTTTTATATGTTTATGAGCAGGCATGTGAACTGCTGAGCCAGCTCTGCTTTCTAAACTCATTTACTGATTTTTTTTGTAATGTTCAATTTTGTGAAATGTGTACATGTATATTCATTTGTATGCATGTGGGTGTACATAGGTGCGTGTGCATGCACAAACCTAAGGTTGACATTTCTAGTTTTAACTTGATCATTTCTCACCTTATTCATTTAGCTGAACAATAAGGGTTGGCTAGATAGCCAGCTTGCTCCAGGGATCTCCTGACTATACTTTCTGAGCACTGAAATTAAAAACAGGCTACTACACCCACTTGATATTTACAGGGGTTCTGGTACAAAGTTTAGGGTGTTGAGTCCTTCAGTGTGTAAGGAAGGATAGAGACAGTGGTTTACAAAGTAATTAGTTGGCCTCAATGACTTCTTAGCTGTGGGAGGCCTAGATTAGAAAGCAAGGAGGTGGTAGTAAGGAGGAGCTAAGGCCATAGAAGCAGTTCTGCTCCTGTCTCTCACTGCGAGGAGCAGTGGATAAAAGCTTCTCATTGCTCTTACAGGTAGAGAGTTCTCAGTAGCCTTTTGTGTTTTTCTCAGCAGGTTAAAGGGGAACAAGTAAGCCTGTTCCATCATACGGAACACTTTGATAATATACCATTTCTTATATTGGGATTTGCTCTTTCCCTGTCTTAATTTACTTGCTCCTCCAGGTAATTTCTCAAACACCTATCTTTAATCATGTCTTAGCTTCAACCAATTTGAGGGACTGCAAACAATGACAGTGTTACTTATAGTTGTATTTATTAGGTTTTGAAGAATTTCTATAACATTTCCTTTGACTTGTATACAAAAGCACAGAGTTGTACATATTAAAGAATATTTCTTCTAGCTTCATGAGTACTTAATATTTGGAAAGTAGATGATACTTCAAAGATTGAAATTGAGTGATTACTCAGGATAGGTTTGAATGTATGTAAAAGAGGACTAAGATTTGTGTAAATGTGTTAAGAGGTTGGTTTAAAGAGGATCAACAAGCAAAGGAGACTTTCGCATGCTCAGGTGTAGGGACAGAACTAGGGTGTGTGGATAGTTTTATTTGAAACGGCAGGACAAAATGTGATTTGAGGTTGGATTAAGAGCAGTTGGGGACTAGAGAGATGACTCAATGGCAAAGAGTGCTTCCTGTTATTCAGTTCCCAACACCCACATTGGATGGCTCACAACCGCCTGTAATTCTAGCTACAGGAGATCTAACACCCTCTTTGGGCCTCTACAGGCATGCAAACACATGTGGCATATAAATTTAAAAAATAAATCTTTTGAAAAATTACAATGGAAGAATGAATGAAGACAATAAACATGGACAACTGGTTTGAGGGATTGTGCTACAGAAGGGAGCAGAGTAAAGGTCTGATAATCACTGAACAGAGTCATTTTCAAAGAGATTCTTTTTAAGATGGGAGGGAAAATATGTCGTGTTATATAGCACATGGTCAAACTCTGTTTGTCCATTACAGTTTAATCGATTAATTAGTTTAAATGTTATGATCAAGCTCAAACCCAATGTCTTGTAGATGCTAAGCCTAAGCTTTGCCCCTGAACTAATTCTCCTGGCTCTTTAAAAGTATGTCCAGTTATCTCTGCAATGATAGTTTTAACATTGCTCATGATTTTAATATAGCCACCTGATTTTATTCTCATTGACTCTTCTTAAATCATGTTTGATGAATCTTGGAAGTGAAAACAGTTCTTAAAAATTACTAACAGAAACAAAGAAGATTAGGAATTACTTTGGCATAGATTTAAACAGTAGAAAGTAAAGAAAACTGAAGGTATTTACATAAAGAAGTTAATCCTGCCTCAGGATCCTGAAAACCCTGTCAACTTTGTAATAGGAACAGATGAAATTCACCCACAGACCTTCTTTTCTGTACTGTCCTCTCTCCCCAAATTTGAACCGTTTTCTTTCTTTACTCCCATTTCTTCCTTAGGATTGTAGAGTGCTCTGACACAGCTCTTTAGTAGTTAATTCTCTTTGGGATAGTCAATGTAGTAATTGTAGAATGAAAGACTTTAAATAATTTGAAGGCCTTTTATGCCTTAAATTATGTCAGTCCTCCTAAATTGAGGTGGAGAATTCCACAGATTATTCTACATTTGTCAGGTTTCCTCAGCAGAAGAGTAAGCCAGATAGTATTTCTTCCATTAGAATATTCTTTTTTCCTGTAAGTTGAACTGTTTAATTTATATTGAAAATCTGTGTGGAGATTTTGACTTCTAATTAGGCTATAGGAAGATACAAAAGAGCTTTGGTTTCTAATATCAAGAAAACCCTACAAAACAAAAAAATATATAAATCAAATATATAAATCACAAGTACAAGAAGTACAAAAACCAGTGAACTGAGAGCTGGAGGGATGGCTTAGTGGGTTAGGTCACTGGCTGTTCTTCCAGAGGACCTGGAGACTGAGCCTAGGGCCTCGTGTATGCTAAGCAAGCTCTGTCTTTGAACAATATACACCCTCACTCTGGGTGAACTTTAGCCAGCTACTCAAAAGGTTCCACGCAAGGTTTATTTTCTTGGTCTCTCTTTCTTTCTTTCTTTCTTTCTTTCTTTCTTTCTTTCTTTCTTTCTTTCTTTCTTTCCTTCTTTCTTTCTTTCCTTCTTTCCTTCCTTCCTTTCTCCCTCCCTCCCTCCCTCCCTTCCTCCCTCCCTCCCTCCCTTCTCCTCCTCCCTTCCTTCCTTCTTCCTTCTTCCTTCTTCATGGTAGAGGTTTTGCTAGTACAATCTATGGATGGCTACCCACATCCTATTTATAAAGTTTATAAGGGGCTGGAGAGATGGCTCAACAGTTAAAGAGTACATTCTGCTTTTGCAGAGGACTGGGTTCTGTTTATAGCACATACATCAAGCAGCTTACAAGCTCCTGTGACTTCAGTTTTGGGGAATTCAGCATCCCCTTGCATCCATGTACACCTGCATGTATGTGCTACACATAACCTTACTCAGGCACACACTCGCATATACGCAATAAAAAGTAAATAAATTAAAAGGGTCTTTCTCTTTCTTTAAAAAAAGTTTATAATTGGCCTCTCTTGTCTAGATCATGTATATATTTGAATGTGACATAGTGACGTTCATTGCTTTATACTACTAATTTGTGTTCATTTAACTAGATTTTTCTGATTTCCTTCCAAACTCACTGGTGTGTATCTTTTGATGTATATTCTGTTCCGGAAAATGGTCATTTTTTGTTTATTTGTTAGTTTGTTTGTTTGAATATCCTGTTAAGTAAAACTGCCTGGTTGATTTTGAACTTCTAGTTTTGCCCCTTTTCTTCTTTTTGGTGTTGGTCGTTGAACATAGGCCTTTGTGCTTGCTAGCATAGCATCTGCTAGCCCCATTGAACTAGGGCTCCCACCTTCTGTTCTCATTTATTTGTGTCTTTCCAATAGAGGTGATTTTGCTGAGATACTCTGAGATTGTTGTTGTTGACAGAATTTGTTAGTCTGTCTACCTTGACACAGTTTTCATGTTGCTTTTAGGTGATCGCACTTTGCCTGGAATGCAGTGTTCTCTTGTCTGAGTTGACCACACTCTGAAGTCCTTGCCTGATTCTTGGTCTTCTTTCTTGACCTGTATAGTCCTATAGTGTTGTGGGACTCGGCTATTGGCCCTCTTTTCTGCCTGTCCTCATAGTCATCTCATTTTACTTTTTAAAGGAATAACTATAAGTAAATGACTTACAAATTTATATCCTCAGCGTGAGTATTCTCTTCATATCTGAATGCCCATATTCAGTTACCCGCTTTGGGTTGTATTCCTGTATTCTTTTAAGGAACTTCAGGCTGGAATTTCTAAACACAGGTATCTATCTCATCCTTCTTACATCCAAGGATGGACGTGATCTTCGCTATTTTAGGTTATGGCAGCTCCAGTCTACCAGATTGTACTGTCACATCTTTTATGGGGAGTGTGGTACCTTGTTTGAAAATAGGGTCTCCTTGTGGCTGCTTATGCAGGTTAGGTGGTTGGGGAGCTTCTGGGAATACTCCACCTCTGCCTCCTGTCTCCCCCATGGTGTGAATAGTACAGCCACTTTTACTACTTCATGTTCTTTACATGGGTTCTAGGGGTCTGAACTCCCAGTGTCAGGCTCTTGCTGCAAAACCTTTAACCCATCAAGCCATTTCCCCACCCCTTTATTTATTTGAGAATGTTTTGCTCTATAGTTATAGCTGACCACCTGGAACTTGCTATGTAGACCAAGATGGAATTGAATTTGGGACTTGGCTTCCCTCTGTACTTCTACGTCTTTTTAACACTAAATTCTGTAGATGAAAGAAAATATGCAAGTGTTGGGGACTTATTATCTTACCTAGTCATGTTTGGCTGTATTTGGAATCTGACATTTGTTTAAACAAATAGATTAGTTTCAAGACATACTGAGAAATCTAGAAATAGTATCAATTTGGCTACTCGGCTCATTTTGTCTTTCTATTTGATAAGACTTATTTATTAACAGACTAGTCAACATGTGGTGGTTCAAGAATAGGAAAATGAAGGACTAAAACTTGTTTAGCCACAAAGTAGAACTCTGAATACTGTTTAAGTCATTGATTTACTTATGTTCTTTTTCCTTTTCCACCTCTTTTGATCTAGACAGCCCAACCATTAGCGTTCTGAATAGTGATGATTCTTAAAGGCGGTGGTGGCGTACACCCTTAATCCTGGCACTCGGGAGGAAGAGACAGGCGGATCTCTGTGAGTTCGAGACCAGCCTGGTCTACAAGAGCTAGTTCCAGGACAGCCTCCAAGCCACAGAGAAACCCTGTCTCGAACCCCTTCCCCTCAAAAAAAAAAAAGGGGGGGGGCAGGAGTAAATCCTTTAAGCAATTAACAGTACCCATCACTTTGAATCTCAAAACTGCTGAGTTGAAGTATAGTTGGTGATTGGAGTTTCTTTGCATAGAGGAAATTTGTTATTTTTCAGTAAATTCAAATGACATTCTATTGAAAAGATATTTGCTTTGTTTTGGTGTTTTGAGACAAGGGTTTTGTATACTGTATCCTTGGCTGACCTGGAACTCACCTTATAGACCAAATGCTGGCCTTGAACTTCAAACTCACAGAGGCTTACCTGCCTTTTCTGCCTGAATGCTGGGATTAGGCATGTGCCATTATCACCTAGGCATCCATATCATTTGATTTTGATAGATGAAGGCTCTCAATAGTTTACAAATATATGAACAGTTTTATTTCAGGAACTAGTCATTTATTTAGAAATAAGCAAATTCGTGGATGCAGGTATACCTGTATATTTTTAAGAAGCTTGGGCAGCCTTGGTCTAGGAGACTTTTGAAAAAAGAACTTCCTCCTGTGACTGGGAATGAATCCCTGTCTGAGCATCACCTGGAGCTGTAACTCTTAGCTCTAGGTTAAAATGCAGGAACCAAAAGTAAGATGACTGCCAGTAGTCCTAGAAGGTTGAGCATCCAGGACAAGTATAATAACCATTGGCTTTGAAAGTCCACCAGTCAAAGCCTCTTTTTGTTCCTTGTTCCTTAAAATCTCTTGCACATTTGATGATGTGTCTAGATTTATTGATATAAAGCAGGAGTCTTATTTAGTTTGATAAAGGCTCCACTTTGAACAGTGGTCAGCAAATCTAAGACTTAGATTTAAGTACAGCTGCTGCAAATAAATTTAACTGTATCCATAGGTTAAAAGTTCTTGGGCTAGTTATTTTAATTAGTGAGTTCTAGGAATAGTCTTTGAGCTGTATAATGAAAAACAGTAGAAGGCCTGGCAGAAGGAAATAGTTGTTCTCTTGTATCATGAGAACAGAAAATCTCGAGTTTTATAAAATCCCAGGAGGCAAGAGAAGAGTCAAGATAGGAGATGTACTTAGATATGGCCAATTAGTGTATACCAGTAGCCCAGTCACGTTCTGGGAGTTCTATTTGGCTGGTCAAAGCTGGTTACTTGAATGATTGCCTGTTGTGGTCTTTAAGAATACTAGGCATGCTGTCAGTAAAAAGAAAGAGCAGTAGGCCCAGTGAGTCCCTGAAGGCTGCCCAGTCCACTGCATTTGATGTGTTGGTTTGGTTTTGGTTTTCAGTTTATGGTGGTCAGTATTTTAAAATTTCAATTTAACTTTTGTTGTAAATTAGGAATTAGGAGAGATGTTCCTTAGTTAAAAAGATATATTATTACTGTTAATTTTGATTTTCTTTTGCTTTTCATAGAATGTTGGCTCAATTAAGAAACATCAGGGAGATAAATTCAACCCAGTGGTAAGTAGATTTAATTTTTTTGTTTGATTTTATTTGAATCTCCCACCCTGCACCCCCAGCTGGCCTGCAACTCACTGTGTAAACCAGATTGGCCTCAAAGAGACCTGCCTGCCTGTGCTGGGATTAAAGGCATGAACTTCAGTGCTTGGCTAGATTTAATTTTTGTTAGAAAGTTGCCAGTTTATTATTTCTCAGTTGACTAATTTACTTCCATTATGATTAGGAAATGCTTAACTCCAGTGTCACCTCTGGTTTATTTATTAGCTTTTCCTAAAATTCAAATTAGCAGTCCATCAATTTGATTGTATTTCACTTTTTATTCAGACTGACTTGGTTGTCTCCTTGTGGGTAACTGTCTTGCTTTATTATGTATGGGAAGATCCTGCTTTAGGTAATTTTACTCTTACCTCTCAAAGGCTTAAGGTCCCTTTAGTCTTTTAAATCAGTTAGCAGTTTTTATTCCATACTGTAGCATGAATCCATGAGAGTCTGGTAAGGGGGACTTTTCAATTTAACAATTACTTTACTCTAAATTACCTTGTACCTCAAGTGCCCTAAATCATATCCAAAATAATTTTGCTGTCTTCAGATTATATTCATTAGGTAATAACATTTCATGCCATTCATTCGTTATATTCCTAAATCTGGAATGGTTGATAGGAAATATTTTTAAGCTATATCATTCAAGTTCTTACACACTGCCAAAATATATGTTCAGATATATTTGTTAATATATGGTTTGTGAGAATAATAATTAGAGTCACTACTATGAAGTAGTTCTATGCAATTGAACTTTCTGTAATGGTAGAAACTTTTTGTAACTGTTTGATCCACTTTGGTATCCCTAGCATAACGTAGCATTTGAGTGGGATAAGGAAATGGCATTTTAAATTTTATTTGATATAATATTAAATTTAAATGGTTTATGTATCTATTGGCTACCATACTGGACAGAACAGATAGCAGATTCTTAAATGGCCTCAGTATCAATTTAAGTGAGAGATTATATATCTATTTTGGGGATTTAAATTTTTTTAATTTAATGTAATTTCTTTATTGATTCTTTGGGAATTTCACATCATGCACCCCAATTCCACTCATTTCCCAGTCTCTCCATATCTGCCCTTCAGCCTTTCAGCATTCCCCCGCCAAGAAAATTTAAAAAAAAATTTCAAAACAAAGCAAGAACTCACTTTGCTCCTGTTTTCCCACCTCTTCAGCACCCTTTATTCATCTTAGTGGCATTGGGAGCTGCAGTGTGTCATGCAGTATATTTTTGTTCTATCAGCTTTACTTGCAAATGTTCATTTCAGTGAGTCATTGGTCTGGCTCAAGGCCCCTGTGAGGGGCAGGACCAGCAAAGGGCAGTTCTAGGTCAGCATGGCCCTAGGGTTTCATCATACATGCTTCTTATGGCTCTCTGCGATAACACAGGTCACAGACATCAACACAGACCCTAGCTGCTATAGGGACACAGACCCAGATGTGGCCCTTGGACATCAACATAGCCTTTGACGGTAACAGGAGCCATGGGCATAGACAACATAGACCCTGGTTGGAGTAAGGCCGTGGACCCAGACATGACCCTCAGTTGCAGCTCTGGCCTGGACATCACCATTGCATCAGGTAGCAGCACAGGCCACTCAGATCTGAGTTGTCCTTGCTGCATCATGACCCTTAGACGCCAACATAGCTGCAGGTGGTGGCCCAGGTCCTGGGCATCAGCATGGCTCTTGGTGGTAATAGGAACCACAGGCATCAACACAAACCCTTGCCACAGCAGGGTCATGGACCCACACATGGTCTTCAGCTACAGCTGTGGTCCAGATGTCACCATGATCACCCAGATCAGCATGGCAGGGCCCTCAGACACCAACATGGTCACAGGTGGCAGCCCAGACCCAGGTATCCAAGAGACTTTGGTGGCAACATGGGCCATGGATGTTAACATGGGTTCTAGCTGTGGTAGGACCATAGACCCAGACATTGCCCTTGGCAGCAGCTTAGGTCCTGGAGGTGACCATGGTCCCAGGTAGCAGCATAGGCCACTCAAGATTAGCATGGCACAGCTACAGCATGGCTCTTAGACACCAACATGGTCTGAGGAGGCAGACCAGACCCCTGTCATCCCCATAGCCTCTGGTGGTAACACGAGCCAAGGACATCAACCCAGACCCTGGCTACAATAGTCAGTGGACTTAGACATAGCCCTCAACTGCAGCTTGGTCCCAGATGTCATCATGACACCAGGTGGCAGTGCAGGCCACTCAGATTGGTAAGGCCTTTGTGGTGGCATGGCCCCTTGATGGTCCCTCGATACCTGTGTGGTCACAGGTGGTAGCCTAGACACTGAGCATCCTTGTGGCCTTTGTTGGCAACATGGGCTACCGAGATCAACACAGACCCCGCCGGTGGTAGGTCCATGGACTAGACATGGCCCTGGGTGGCAAGCAGGCCACCCATATCATCCTGTTCCTCATCACCTTTGCTTTGACTGTTTTACCTCTTTCCACAACAAAGGAACCATTACACTTATCTTTCTCTCTTGTTTCTCTACCACGCATTTGCTTATTCTGATGGTACCCTCCTGCCCAGCACTACAAGGTACCAGGAGGGCCCAGGAATATCTTCAGCCAGCCTAGGCCTTGAGGACCCAGACTGGCCTGTGGAAGACTTCCACCAGCCAGGAATTTAAAATTTATTTATTAGTATATAACGATATATTTAATCCCCTTTTAGCAGTTAAGTTCTTTATTGAACGAACTGTTACTCCTGTTGGTAAAATGTACATATCTATAAACATAGAAATGTTAGTAAGAATTCAGTATGCTTTTTTATGTCTATTTCTTTTTAGACAAAGATTTTAGATGTAACCCTTCTGGGTGTGTGATGCTGGGTTTCTGAGTCAGGGCAAGTCTTGCAAGTCTTGCATGGTTGATACAATGCAAGTACTTTATTACACTGTACTTTGAGCCTCAGGTGAAAACATCTGGTGCTTGATTACTAGGTTTTCTTAAACATCTTTTAAAGTAGTTTGCAAATAGACCTATTTATTGGGTTTTGAGGATCTAGTTCAAATGTATATTACATGCTTTTCCAAAAGTCTATTTTACAAATCTGTATAGTTCTAAAAAGAGAAACACTACTGCATTAAAGATCTTTAGTTTCTGGCTGTTTCCTAGTTAAGAAACTCTGCTTCTCTATGGAAACAATAGGATATTCCATAGAAAATTGTAATGAAGGCAAAGAAAAATATTTCTATACTTTATCTAAAGAATTTCAGTATGGTGCCTGGTGATTCAGTAAAGTCAGAGTGTGAGAATGAGTGTAAGTGAAGTATTTAACCCTGTCTATGATCAGACATTCAAGTACCATAAGTGGAAAGTAGACCTATTAGTGTAGTGCCTTACTGAGCCATATTGGATCCTGAGTCAAGGGGAAAAAAATACTGATTATGTCTTGATTTAAACATTGATGTTTTATTAATATAGATTTTTTTAGCAGTTAGCATATTTAAGGTACTTATCTTTCTGTTTTTTTTATACTTTTTTTTTTTTTTTTTTGGTTTTTCGAGACAGGGTTTCTCTGTATTGTTTTGGAGGCTGTCCTGGAACTCACTCTGTAGACCAGGCTGGCCTCGAACTCACAGAGATCCGCCTGCCTCTGCCTTCCGAGTTCTGGGATTAAAGGCGTACGCCACCAACGCCCTGCTTTTTTTTATACTTTCTTATATTTTGTGCCTGAGATCTTGGTGCTTGTTTCTGTGACTAAAGCAAGGATTATATTTATGTACAAAGAGTTGCTTACTGATTGGCAGTCATTCTCACTTTATTAAATTATTACTGTGTTAGTTTAATGTTAGCCTAGTTGGAATTTATACACAAGTTCCTAATAAAATTGGTCTTATGAATTTTTATTAATTCAAAACTGGCTTTTCTCTTGGTTAACTGAAAGATTGTATTTTAAGTGAGTTGACTCACATGTGATCTTAAACAATTTAGAGTCTTCAAGCTCTTTCAAAAACTGTAGACTAGTATTTGATTGACACAAAAGTATACTTGAAGTAGATGGGAATTTCCATGTAGGAGAATCATAAATCGTAGTGTGGGTTTTCATTGCTGTGAAGAGACATCATGACCACGGCAACTCTATAAAGAAAACATTTGCGTGTCTCACAGTTTCAGAGGTTCAGGCCATGATGATTGATGATGGCAGTGAGCAGGCAGATGTGGTGCTGGAGCTGAGAGTGCTCCCATTTTGTGGGCAGCAGGAAGTCACCTGGCAGTCATGCTGAGGGAAGCTTGAGCAAAAGAAACCTCAATGCCTGCCCCCATGGTGACACACATCCTCCAATAAGGCCACCCCCTTGGGGGCCATCTTCTTTCAAACCACCACATAGGAAAGTTAAATGGTGGGTGATCACTAATAGATGGTTAAGAAGACCTGTAAAGTTCGAGGCCAGCCTGGTCTACAAAGTGAGTTCCAGGACAGCCTCCAAAGCTACAGAGAAACCCTGTCTCGAAAAATCAAAAAAAAAAAAAAAAAAAAAAAAGACCTGTAAAAAACATGAATGGTTACTTCTTGGATTGTATTGTAAAGTACTGGAGGGCTTGAGTTTGATTTAAAGTCCAGTAGACATATAAATGTAGATATTAAAGCAATCTTAAATAGGCTCCATTGGGTGTGTGTGGTGGTGAAGAGGTACTTTGCCTGTGGCATTTTGAGTTGTGCTATATGGATGGTAATTTGTTGGAAAAATTGTTTGTCATATTGTATACAGTTTAATTTGTTTTTATCTACATGCTGCAGCTTTTAAAAAATGACTACGAAACGAAGTTTGTTTGTGCGGTTGGTGCCATGTCGCTGTCTACGAGGAGAAGAGGAAACGGTCACTACTCTAGATTATTCTCATTGCAGCTTGGAACAAGTTCCCAAAGAGATTTTCACCTTTGAAAAAACTTTAGAGGAGCTCTATTTAGATGCTAATCAGATTGAAGAGCTTCCCAAGGTATATTAACATGTCAAGAATTACATTAGATAATGTCTATTCATAGATGTTTACATTCTTAATATTGTTGTACACAAATGTTTCCATTCACTGGCTTAGTCTTACTGTAAGCACAATTCAAAATGATACAGATTTTTAAGCCTCTGTTCAAGTTATTTAAGTACTTGTGTGAATAACTTTTATTTTTACTTGAAGCATTTTATAACCATCAAAATAGATAATGCATCTATTCAACTTCTGGAGCCATTAGATTTAACTAGTCAAAAAACTAAAATTTTATTGTCTTATTGTAAATTCTATAAGCTCTTTATATGCAGCGTTATAAATGGGGCTAATTGTCATTTCAACTACCACGTCATGCTTTATGGTTCTATAAATTTTTAGAGGTGGAATTAGGCTTCCCTCCATTTTGTCTGGAATTGATTTGGAGAACATGCATCTCTGAAATATAGTAACAACTGGAGGGGGAAAGATTGCTGTGAAGTTCTTTCTCAGATTACCACTTTACTAAAACTTTTTTTAGTATGCTCTTACTTTCCTTTTATTACCTGTATTAGATTTCATGTTTTATAAAAAAGCTGCAGTAGCTTTAAATTGTTTATTAGGATCTATAGCCATCTGAATGGCTATTTTTGTTTGTTTCTTTGTTTTGAGACAGGGTGTCACCTTGTAGACTAGACTGTCCTCAACTCTGAGATCTGCCTGCCTTTGCCTTCACAAGGCCTGTGGTTGAAGGTACGCACCACAATCCCCTTTGAAGCTGTAAATGGAGACTTGAAATTGGTTAGAGTGGGGCATGGTGGTGCCGTAGGGAGGAAGATCTTAAGTTCAAGACCAGTTTGAGCTACACAGTGAGTTCTACCTTGGCCTGGATCATATGTGTAGTGAGATCTTGTTTCAAATCTAGCCACCTACAGCCACCAAACAGTTTAATATGTGTTATCAGAATTCTGAAAAATAAACTGTAATTTGGACTGAGATTTAGAAAATAAAATTACAGGTGACTTAGTTAAATAAGAATTAACTTTCTGATGAACAAGAAATACTTAGTGTAAGTATGCAGTATGTAGGATATAGTTATACTAAAAATTATCTAAAATTCAAATTTAATTGGGTATCCTATATTTAATCCAGCAGCCCTAACTGTAATATAACAGAAAATAAATCATATAGACCTTGTTTCATGAAGTATTTGTTTTAGATTATTTGTATGTTTGTGAACATCCTGGATGACAGTATACAAAGGCTTTTAATTGTGATGACCAATATTAAAAGCTTTTGAAAGTCAATGCTATATCCTAGGTAATTAGTTTTTAAAATTTTTTATTGAGACGGAATGTCACTTTGTAGTCTAGGCCGGCTTCAAACTTCATTGCAATCCTCCTGCCTCAGCTGGGATTTATAGACTTGAGTCACTAAGATCAGTTTATTCTTAATAATTTTGTGAAGAAGTCTTTAACAGCTGTGGAAAAATGTTCAAGGTGAACTGTGAATCACATCTATGCTGTGATTGTAGTGTGCTTATTAATTTACTGTTCATCATTACTGTGTACTCTAACAAATCCATTTCTATCCATGGCTAGTTCTCTGATGGAATATGGAAAACCTAGATTAGACAGGAATTAGGGTCTCAGTGTCGAGGCATGTACAAGAGTGACGCTGAGTGTAACAGTGCAGGTAAATGAACGTGTGCCTACCCCAGACCTAGCACTTCAACATTTTTCAAGGGGTGCTCTTCAGCATGGCGTTCTTTTTGGAATAAGCTTGATTGAAAGACAAGCTCCGGAACTTACAGTGTGTAACAGCCAACTTTGACAACTTCAACAGATAATATAGCCATATGTGGTTCATATATTGGTTTTCACTGGGTGCAGGTTAGAAGTATAAATCAGTCTAAGTGACTCAAATTTATTCAGATCCATAATAACATAGTCAGAATAATATGGGGCCTTTCCTGGTGTTAATGTAGGCCTAACAAAGTTAGCTTTAATATGGATATTTATTGTATAAAGATTAGTCCGTGGAATACCTAAAGAAATGTAAGTGATAACCAAAATCCTTTCTTTTCTTCCCTAGCAACTTTTTAACTGTCAGTCTCTACATAAACTAAGTTTGCCTGACAATGATTTAACAACATTACCAGCATCCATTGCAAATCTCATTAATCTCAGGGAACTGGATGTCAGCAAAAATGGTAAGTCCTCCAGATTCTTGTCCTTTGAGATATTTCGTTGTTAAAGTGTTTCTGTTTTCCAAATGTTTAGAAATATATTAACTTCATTTAGAATCTATTTAATATAGAATATATAAACATTAAAAATTTTTATAACCTGTTTTATGTCAAATGCAATAAAATTTAGTATCATTCTTGGATTAGAAGTGTTTATAAATATAAAATCTGTGATACCTCAGAACAGCTGGAAAATAAGTAGATTTTAAATATATTATAGTTCATGTTGTACAATGGAACTCTCAAATGTATTCCTCCTAACTGAAATTTTTTTTCTGGTTTTTTGAGACAGGGTTTCTCTGTATTGTTTTGGAGGCTGTCCTGGAACTCTGTCTGTAGACCAGGCTGGCCTCGAACAGAGATCCGTCTGCCTCTGCCTCCTGAGTGCTGGGATTAAAGGTGTGCCACCAACACCCGGCTCTAACTGAAAATTTTTACTTGGATCAACATCTTAACCATCCTACTCCCTCATCCTGCCTGGCATCTGCTAACTGCCGTTTAACTTTGTGCTTCTGTGAGCTTGCCCTTTTAATATCCAGTATTGGAGATCACAGGATGTTCATCTTTTTATCCCTGATTTATTTTATCTAACATGATGTCCTTTAGGTTCATCCATCCTATTACAAATGACTGAAGAGTGTTTCACTGTACACACATACATACAGTGTTTTCTTTATTGAGCCCTTTATTCCCAGAAGCTTAGGCTGAGCCCACATCTTAGCTATTGTGAATAGTACCTCAGTGAGTGTAGAAGTGCAGACCTTTCTTCTCTCTTGTCCCGCAGAGGTTGTGTGGCTCAGACAGCTGTATTTTCATTGTATCCCTGGCTTGTTTGTTCGTACACAACTTTCTACTTTTATGTAACTGGCTTATTTTTGTGTTTGTTGTCTTTTTGATATATTTTTAGAAAACCATTGTGTAGGTGGCTTCCTTTTTTTTTTAATTGATTTATTTTTGCTTTATGTGTTTGACCTGCATGTATATCTGTGTGAGGGTGTTAGATCCTCTGGCACTGGAGTTACAGACAATTGTGAGCTGTCATGTGGGTGCTGGGAATTGAACCCAGGTCTTAATCTCTGAGCCATCTCCTCACCCCACTGCTGCTGCTTCTTTGAACCCTTTGGTCTACACAGGGACATCTTCTTTCCGTAGTCCCACTGAAGAGACCCTCCTTTCCTTGTGATGTGTGTTGGTGGCTAGTTCTTTATGCTGCCAACTCACAAAAAATGACACGGAGACTTTTTATTAGTTGTGAAAGCTCAGCCTTAGTTTAGGCTTGTTTCTAACTAGCTCCTCTTACTTAAATTAACCCATATTTTTAAATTAATTGTTTTTTACATTCCAATCCCAGTTCCCCCTCCCTCCTCTCCTCCTGCTACCCCCACACCTCCCTCTATGTTCTTCCGCACACTGGTTGCCTCATCTCCATTGTACATATCCTGGTTATTCTGCGTCTGGCTGGCAACTCCACCTTTCTTCTTCCCAGAGATCTCTCTGTCCAGATGTCCTGATTAGCTATTGGCCGCTTAGCTTTTTATTAAACCACTCACAGTGACATATCTTTATGCAGTGTAATCAGATATCTTGCCACAGATGTGTTCTTGGTACCTTTGTTGAAATTAATTGACTATACTCATGTGGATTTATTTCTGGCCCTCTGTTCTGTTCCTTTGGCATTTTCCTGTTAGACCAGCACCATATTCTTTCATTTTAGAGCTTACAGGTGAATTTTGAAGTTATCTGTTGTAAGGCCTGTAGTTTTTTTCTTTTTACTCAAGATTACTTTTACTTCAGAATCTTTTGTGATACTCTGTTAGGGTTATTGTCTTCTGTTTTTGTGAAAGGTGTCATTAGAATTTTGATAGTACGTTGAATCAACAGGACACTGGGCGGTTTGGACATTTTAACAGTTCTTTTCTTTCTAATCTGGAAACGTGAGGTATCTTTCCATTTATTTACAGTTCTAGTTTGTTTAATCAGAGCTTTATTGTTTCAGTGTAGTTAAATTTTTTGCTGTTGTTAGTTATATAATATATATATGTATATAAATAATCCCAAAATATATAAATGGGACTTTGCTTTAAAAGAAAAATTTTGGATAGATTATTGTTAGCATATAGAATGCCACTGACTTCTATATGTTCCATTTTAATGTTGATCCTTTTCATTTCTTTCTGTTTCCTAATTGTTCTGGTTAGGACTTAATACAGCTATACATAGCTTAATGACCATATATTTACAAGTTTCTCTGAGAAATACATCACAGATAATTTGGTTTTGGTAAACATTATAGAATATGGTCTTTTTAAAATCATGTTTTATATTTTGAAATAATATAATTTCTCCCCTCCAGCTTCCTTCCATGTAACCCTCCCCTCAAATTCATGACCTCTTTTTCTTAATTGTTCCTACCAAATTATAAATATAACCATCACAGCCTATGTTATTTGTATGTATATGACTTCAGGACTGATCAGTTAGTATTGGATAATCAATTTGGGGTGCTCTTCCCTGGGGAAGACTATTTCTTCCACTTTCCATATTCCTTAGCTACCTATAAGCTTTTTGTGTATATGTGTTTGGGAGATGGTGTTGAGAAAGGGTCACTTAACATAGCCTTGGCTGTCCTGGAACTCACTATGTAGACCAAACTGGTTACTATGTGTCCAGACTCAGAGATCTGACTGCCTCTGCTTTCCAAATGCTGGGATGAAAGGTCTGTGTTATCACACTTGATCCCTGTAGTTCTTTGTTTAGGGTTGAGGTCTTATGGGCTTTTTTTAATTTCATGTTAGCATGTCTTGGTGGTCTTGTTTAGGCAGCCATGTTGAGGAGATTATGGGTGTAGCTTCTCTGATATTTGTAGGAGTCAGAATCTCACAGTTAACTCACTGTTCTCTGACTCTTACAATCATTCTGCCTCCTCTTCTGCAATGTTCCATGAGCCTCAGGTGCAGAAGTGTGTGGGAGAGGGGGAGGGGGAGGGGGAGGGAGAGGGTGGAGGGCGTAGGCCCTGCCCCAAATGACTTGACAGACTTTGATGATCCCTCATAGAAGGCCTCACCCTCCCTGGGGAGTGGATGGGGGTATGGGGTGGGTTGTCGGTGGGGGGACATGGGAGGGAAGAGGGGAATTGGGATTGATATGTACAATAAGATTGTTTCTAATTTAAATAAAATTTAAAAAAAGAAACTGCTTTTATGAGATGTGAGGACTGTACTTATCTATAGGCATAAGGATAAATATTTAGAATGTGGTTTGGGATCATGCTGGTTTATTAAAGTGACAGGTGTAAGTTCTTCAAGATCCATGACTTTACTAGCTCTGGGTAGGTGTCTAGCTTTCCGTTATCAGGCATGATTTCCCTCCTGTTGAGTGGGTTTTAAGTTCAATGAGAGAGTTCATACCACCAAGATAGGAGTGCCATTGATTCACCCTCAGGGTTATCTGCCATGCTGGTTGCTTATGTGGTCTCTATCTAATCAAGCAATGGTAGGCATAGAGTGCATGAGAATGTGGCTTGTATTATAGTACAGTAAATACTTCCTTAATAAGTAGGAAGGGTTTCTTTTTACTGTTCTGTCACGATAAGGGAGAAAATAATGTTGTAAGGAGTAAAGACTCTCATTGACTCACAGTTCTGCAGTGTGAGATGTGCATGGTTTATTACTTCATTGCTCTCAGCTGGAGGCACAGTGCATCCTAGCAGGAGCACATGTTGTGGTCTGATTATCCCATGGCAGCCAGCAAGCAAACAAAACGGAGGACCGGTGTTGAGTATTTCCTTCAAATAGTGCCCCGACTACTTGACTTCCTTTTACCAAGCCCTGCCTTTCTGAAGGTCCCACTATCTTCTAACAACCCTAGAGGCTGTCATTAAAACCTTTGGGAATATTTAAGGCTCAAATCATAACAAGTGTTCTTTAAAATTATGAAAAAAGTAGTAGTTTATAACAGTAAATATATAAGCCAGTAACATTAACCTGGCATTATAGGCTGTTTACAACGGTCAGGCTAGAGTTTTCGCTGACTGACAGCACAGGTTTGTTTACACCAGTATCATGAGTTATGTATTGTGCTCCTACACTGAAGCCTGCCACAGCATTTGATGCTATCGATTTATTTTTCAACTACATTTTAATAGATTGCTGTTCCTTTTCTGGTTGATAGTTGACTGAGACATTTTGTGGTGCATAACTACACTGAGATGAATAGACATAGTAACACTGGGAATTGTCTTGTTCCTGATTGTGGAAAGAAAGCTTTGAACTTTTAATTGTTGAATATGATGTTTTTTTGTGAATTTATATTAGGTCTTTATCATGTGGAGAAATAGAACTATCCCAAACTGGTGACTTAAAAGTTATTAAAAGATTTTTTTTTTCATTTGAAAGATTTCCTTCCATCCACATTCTACTGAGGCATATGTAGATTCCTGAATAATGAATTATTAACAAATAAGGAATTTTCTTAGCTTTGTATACATAGCATAGAAGATAATATTTTAAATCTTTCGGAGAGGCAGAGAGAGAAATAGAGAGCTCTTAAAAATTTTAAATTATGGACTGGAGAGATGACTCAATGGTTAAGAGCACTGGCTGCTCTTCCAGAGGTCCTGAGTTCAATTCCCAGCAACTACATGGTGACTCACAACCATCTATAATGAGACCTGGTGCCCTTTTCTGGTCCGCAGCCATGCATGCCGGCAGAACACTGTATGCATAATAAATAAATAAATCTTTTAAAAATTTTAATGAACATACATTTTATAATAACAAAAAAGAATGGATCACATGAGTATAACTTTTAAATGCCCTACCTTAAAATACAACTTTAAATATTTATTTTCAATGTTTGGGAAAAAAATCTAAATCCTACCAAATCAGTACAGCAGCATACAAGATTATTCTCTGTTCTGATAGGAACATGTAGATGTAGACTTTCCTTGTATTGATTCTCATAAA